CGGGGGGAGGGGGGTGTTTAGCAGTGAATTACGGTTGGATACGGTGAGGGAGGGAGGCGTCAAAACATAGGAAAAATGGGTGATGTAATTTATGGACGGCCCCTTAGGTGTTGTGTGGCTAACTGAAAAAATTTAAGAACGAATAAAAACTTCGGCTGTGCAACAATATGAAAGTATTTTCGTTCTGGATCGGGTGGAGTAGAACCCCAAAGTGGCAACCTGCCCATTAGGATTAGTAACAGACAGTCAAGTCATAGAGCGCTAACCGCGCTTTCTTTTTCAACGTAGATGTGAGGTGAGAGGTCCAAGTCAGCGCTCTGAAAATATTATTTAATCGCAAAGCACATTGAAATTAATGTGACGACCGGCACACAGACTTCAGTTATTTTCCTAGCGGGAAGTTTGAAATGGCGATGTAGAAGATGCTGCTTTCTTATCTATGAGTTAAACAATTCATACATTTTGATGTGTAAACGGTATTCTGCATTTCATATCAACGAGGAAACATGTGGACACTCAATTGCTTCATTTGTTCTCTTCCTAGTGATTGACTGTAATCCATTGAACCTTTTCTACACTGAAAAAAAAAATTGGTAGAATTTATCATTCCTTCACGCTGTATTTCACATCAGAGTCAATTCTGCCAGAAGAAAGGTAAACGTTACTATATACCGGTACAGGTAACCATTCCTCCGGCAGAATCGACTTTGAATTCACGCTGTGCGAAATACAGCGTGAAGGAATGGCAAATTCCACCAATATTTTTTTCAGAGTACGATCAATTTTAATATGCTGTCAGGTGATTCCACAGCAACTTCTTGGCAATTCTATTCCTCAACCTTTTTGTAGAGTTTCCTCGTTCTTCCAGCTTTTATTTTGTTGAAAGTGGTATTATTCTCCCGGCTGAAATCCTACTTTGTGTATGTTTGTCACCGTATGTTTTACCAGAGCTGTCTCGGAATGATGCATTTCATGAAAGTGTACCTAATAATAGTTTAACCTTTTTTGTTTGTTTCAGAAAAATGTTTATTGGCGGTCTCAGTTGGCAAACTAGTCCAGGTAAAAATTTGAAATCATGTCAATTTGTCCTCGTGTCACCGCAGAAACTTAATAGAGCCCCTGTAATGATAATTGATCAGTGAGATATAAAACACACCATCAATCCGAAAATGCTCAATTTTCATCAAAGACGATCAATTTTTATAAAAGTCATTGAAGGTAGCGCATCTGATCCAACTTGAACCTTTAAAATGCCCCTGTATAATGATAATTGAATCAGTGAGGTCGAAAACACCATTTCGGTAACCCGAAAATGCTCAATTTTCATTAAAGACGGTCAATTTTTATAAAGGTCATCAAAGGGAGCGCATCTAATCCAACTTGGACCTTTCAAATGTCCATAAGTGCTTGTAATCTGGCATCAAAATCTTTATCCTGGACTAATTTTTTCATCTACTGTGCAGTTTTGTGTGGGTCTATCACTTTAATTTTTTCCGAGTTGGTGTGTTTTCGTTCTCACTGATTGAATACAAGTTGCGTAAGATACTGAGTGGTTAGTATAGCGTTAAGATCTATGAATAATATTCATAATTAAAATTCTTGAGGGATAGGCTGATATACATTTTGACGACGAGGCAGACTTTGTCGGCAAACGTCTCAAGAGGCTTTCGTTTTCCGAGTGAAAATCAACTTGCTCCGGCGTTGGCATTTGCATAATTCATGCACATTTGTAAATCGCGCAGTTAACAGATTATGACTTAGTACGTAAGTACGTGCTTTATTCTCCTCTATCTGACATCGACCGCTTTCATTGTTCGCAGCTCTCTCCGTTCAAATTTTTGCATTTTTCCCCCGCTTTCCGCTCGCTCTTCCTCTTACCCCCTAAAGTTTCCTTCTATTATTTTATTCTTTTTCCGTCAGATCCGCGGCTGTAGGTAATTAATGGATTTAATGAGAGAGGCGATAGAAGTTGATATTTTCACGCCTTGGGGTTCCGCTTGAAAGAACGGAAGGGTGAAAGCTCGGTGGAAGGGGTGGTTTTGGTGCGGCGCATGGCTGTATGATGATGGGCTCGGGATTTCTAGTCAGCCTCCAAGTTATCCCAGATTTGCGTACACACAGAGGCTAAATGTAATTATTTCAAATGAATCTTCTGTTTTTACAAGTGGCCTCGAGGCTTCAAAGTATAGATCGTATTCGATACATCAAACAGGTGAGATTGTATATCGATATCGGTTGGTTCATTATGTAAACATAGCCTCAAAAGTCAAATTAGAAATCTAATATAACGGGTCTTTTGTGATCGAATTTCTATTCATTCGAGTATCAAATGGCAATGAAAAGTGAAATTGTCAGGAATTTTCTCATTTTCAGCTTTTAGAAATTAAATCCTAAAATTTTTGTTTGAGGTTATGTCCTAGTGTTTTGAACCAAACGATACATCGAACCGCCATCGAATACGATCTATTAGAAGGAAAAAGTGCGAGGTATGGGACTTTCGAATTTTGTCTCAGGCTGAGTTGCAAATAGGCGTCGAACCATTTTGCAGTGATATGAGGAAAAACGCCGTATAAACATTCGAAATTTGCCGAATTTTCTCGCATGTAACATGTATTTTTGAGGAAAGTTATCCGTGTTTTTCCTTGAAATTTTCCGATTTTTTGGATCAAATTGCGTAAAAAATCGTCTAAGAAATCTGAAGAATAATATTCAAAATTTTCCCAGTAAATTCGCTGTTTACTGAAGGCAATCCGGCACCCTCTAACGGCACATACGGCGTTCTTCCTTAGCACGGCACCATTGCTGACCTTTTTATTTGAATTTTATCTTCAGTTTTTTCTAGGGCTTCTCTTCGAGTTCGAGAGAGCCTTGTTCTTTCTTCATCTCTTGATTTTTTACGCAAGTGTCTCGTTCTGATAGGGTCTTAAAATTGAGCTAAATTCAGACAAAATTTGCTGAAATGTCGGGAATAGTTATCTCGTTGTGATAAAAAGAGATCGTCCCTAAGCCGTGAACGCGGCACGAAGTAGGAGTCAAGACTAGATGTCTCATTTCGCCTTCAATTTTGACGATACTTCATGCACATCCATAAAGCACGTATAGTGGTATCAAAGATCTGTGTGAGTTTGAGAGCCTTGTTCTGTTGTTATTCCTTAATTTTTCACATGTCAAAGTTGCGCAGATGTTGCGTTTCAGTAGTGTCGTGAATAAAAAAAAAAAAAAAAAAGACACCAGGATAAAATTGGCCAAGATGTCAGGAATAGTCGCCTCCTTTTGATAACAAGAGGTCGTGCTTCCCTAAGCGCGGCACGCAGTCAGTCAATACCAGATGTCTCATTCCGCCTTCAATTTTGACGATACTTCAAGCACATCCATAAAGCACGTATAGTGGTATCAAAGATCTATGTGAGTTCGAGAGCCTTATTCTGTTGTTATTCCTTGATTTTTCACATGTTAACGGTATTTTTTACACAGATGTCGCGTTTCAGTAGTGTCGTGCATTAAGAAAAACCAAGATAAAGTTTTCCGAGATGTCGGGAATAGTCGCCCCGTTTTGACAGAGGTCGTCCCTTAGCGCGGGTCGAAGTCAGAGTCAAGACCAGATGTCTCATTTCGCCTTCAATTTTGATGATACCTCCGGCACATCCATAAAGCACGTATAGTGGTATCAAAGATCTGTATGAGTTTGAGAGCCTTTCTCTGTTGTCATTTCTTAATTTTTCATACGTCTCCAGTATTTTTTACGCAGATGTCGCGTTTCAGTAGTGTCGTGAATTAAGAAAAACCAAGATAAAGTTTTCCGAGATGTCGGGAATAGTCTCCTCATTTTGATAACAAGAGGTTGTCCCTAAGCGCGGCACAAAATTAAAGTAAAGACCAGATATCTCATTTCGCCTTCAATTTTGATGATACTACAAGCACATCCATAAAGCACGAATAGTCGTATCAAAGATCTATTCGGGTTTGAGAAACTTGTTCTGTTGGAGTCTCTTGATTTCTCACACGCCAAAGGTATTTTTAACGCAAGTCACATCCCGTTTTGAGAGTAAAGTGTCGTTATTTACGTTCTCTTCCTTCTTGCTAAATTTGCAACCTATAAGCTTACATAAGCACTTTCTAAGCTCGCATTAACGACTTGTTATCTTAATTTAGCGGCTTTTAATTATATTACCACTATAAGTAAGTTAGTTTAAGCCGACTAGTTAGTGTTACTTTCTTGTATGTTGCCTCCTTTACACGCACATGGGTCGCACGCTCGTCGAGACCCGTTTTTTTTTCTCCTTTTTATTTTTTTCTTCTTCTGTAATCACCCACGCCGACCTGGAAGGGTTATTATTGCTTTTTAAGGCCAAAGGACGCCACGCGAAACCACTTGGTGATGGCACAATGTTAAAGGTGTTAGATGAAACTTTAGTAATACTCGGCAGAGAGCAACCGAGTTCATTCCTATGGAGTGCACAATGTCTGCATGGCGACTCGACAGTCAACGCTCATTAACTTGTAATGAGCTTTGTGAATTAACTTTTTGATGAAACTCGTTTGCCGCCTCTTGGCAGTGATGCCCGTCTGTGAACGTTGATGTTAAGCGTTATTTTTTAGCCAGATTTTAAGCCTCAGCACTAAAGGCCCACGTCCTCCGCGATAGTCGGCACCCGGATGTGACTAACAAAAGAGAAGAAGGAACAAAAATTCGGATAAAGATCCTAAGATTCATCTTAGCGCCAAGGCGGCATCGATCGCCGATTTGCGCGGCCGACAATAGTGCTTAAGTGTCGCATCATGAGACCGAAAGTTGCAGAGATTGGTTTAGTATACCTACATCATTGGTTATTCCTCCGCTACTTTTAAATTCGAACTAGTGTCAGCTCTTTTCTTCCCTACAATCGTCATTCGTTAGACTCGGAAAGTTTTGTGTATCCCAAAGCCAAGAAGAAAAGTTAATGCCGTAAACGTGTAAGAATCAGAAGATTTTTTTCATCATGCGTGACTTAAGTGCAGGGATAACGAGCTGTCATTGCTTTGAGAGAAGTCCTATTTCAAGCAATACCAGGAACGAGTTCCACAGGACCCCGGACTCCCTTTAGAGCCAATATGTAAGAATCAGTGAGCGGTTACCACTGCTGCGATTTCGTTTAGGATCCTCGCAACTAACTGCTACCTTCGCACCTTGTTACCTAGTCGTTGGACTTCCGTATGGAGCCGTAAAAAAATCCGTAGGATCACGTATATCTACCAGAAATCGAATATTTTACCCTACACTACCAAGAGGCTGGCGTTTTGTTGTCGAGAGGGGTTGGAAGACGCCGAAAATGTACTTAATTTTCAAGAATTCAGCCGCTTTTCGAGTTATTTTTCAATTATCGGCTTAACCTCACTTTTGGGGCGGATGATGGATGAGTCGATGTTCGGGGGGTAGGGTCCTCTGAATTTTGCGAGGATCCTACGTGAGGTTGCGCTGTGCGCAGCTTTCATTAGAGCGCGGCTTCTTGTAGAACTCGTCCCTTGTAAAACCATATGAAAAATATTTTAAATCAATTCCCGGAGGAATTGATCTCAGAATGTCACCCAACATTGTCGACCAATATTCACGCAGAGACTGTAATGGTGTCACCACGACGGTAGCACTCAGAGGATTGGAGGAGCTGTGGGGTTGCACGGCCGTATTGATAAGAGGACGCCCGGTGGGTTCGTCCCGTGTGAAAAGCACGGAATGAGCAGGAGGGAGGGAGGGCCGGGTAGGGTAGCGAGCGTCATAGCGTGTGACGTAATCGTAAAAAGAGCTAGTTTGGGTGACGAAGGCAGAGCACGCGGCACGGAGGCAAGCGCCAAAAGTGGCGGGGAGAGTGTGACGCAGTCACGATGCTCCGTGGACGGGGTGACGTCAATGAGGGGGCGCGAGATGGGTCATCAGCATATCGGATGCCTCTCAGCTCGAAACTGCCCAGCGGGCAGCGTCAACGGAAAGAGGGAGAGAGGGTTACTGAATAAGCCCCCGTCGGCGACAACGCAACGTTTGAACCGGTCGCGGTCCACTGATTCCGTATTTAATTCGAGCTGGA